GCTGCCCTCCAATTGCATAACGGTATGACGAAAAATTTTTATTATCATTGAAGTCGTTCCCTTCTTTGTCGTGGATGGATAAGTGACCAATTGAGTGACTGATTGCATATGTTTCGCCCGAATTTCCCTGCCGAATAGGAAGTTGAATATGAATTATACACAAAAATGTGTAAAAAATAGGGTGAAAATTTACCGTCCTGTAATGGAACTGATAATGGAATATTTCTGTTTCACTTATGTTAAGCGGTTGGCTGCCCTGTCACTGTGACGTTAATATCCGGTGCACAAGATGAATTTATGTTTCTTTCCTGGTATGAAAATATGTTTATAAATAGTAGGACGGTGTTATATGTGTCTGTTCCAGTTGTAATTAATTATCTGCCTGAAAGATTATGTTAAAAGATTGAGTGAGATAGTGCAAATGGTAACCTTTAATATGTGTATTAACTTTGATCGAATAATGGCGAGTGCACGAAATTTTACAAACTTGTGTTTCGTCTGTTCCACAACGAAATTGAAGTGTTTTCCCTATGAACCATGAAAGTGAAATATGTGTGAAGGAAGAATACTCCATAACGTACATTTATTGATTTAATGAAAGTACGTGCATATAAGAAGAGAGTGTGTTTAGTGAAAGACAATGTGTGTTTGAGATTATTCTTTCACTGTTATTAATAATCTCTTGTGAAGTATGTACAGTGATTTGCGACGGCTATCCCCATCGCCAGAGCAGCGCATCCGGCAACTCCTCAAGGTCGAGGGAATTGGCTACCATAAGCCGTCCCAGTTCCTAAGGTACTTCAAATGTCTCGCACCAGAGGTGTCAGATAACGTCATCCGAAGCGTCTGGACCAGCCGGCTACCCCGCAAAGTGCAGAGCTTCCTCGCCGGCCAGAACGAGAGCAACTTGGAGCCCGCAGCCCTCTGTGCAGACCGCATCTCCGAAGTCGAAGTCCGGCAAGCGCTCGCTAGCGTTGATGAACCCACGGACATCGGCACACTTCTGCAGGAGATCGCTGAACTCTCCCGCCAAGTGGCTGCACTCAGGACCGAACAAGACCGCCACCACCCCCGCTTCAGGGATTCCGACAACAAACTGAGAAACGGAGGCTCCAGTCCCAAGGGTTCCTGATCCGCCGTCAACAACCGCCGGCCCGGCAGCAGATCCCTCTCCCGGGGCGACGCCACATCCAGTATCTGCTGGTACCACCGCCGCTTCGGCGCTCGGGCACAAAACTCTACTCCGCCCTGCTCCTACCGCCAGCAGGGAAACTGACTCAGCGGACATCATCGGCGGAACGTGTCTGCGCTACGATAACAGGCCGCCTATTCCTAATAGACAAAGTTAGCAAACGGCAGTTCCTAGTCGACACGGGTTCGGACCTCTGTTTATACCCCCGCAGGCTCGTCCATCGACGCATGGAGCCTACCAACTATGACCTTTGTGCGGCTAATGGCACTACCATCCACACATACGGATGGCTGCCTCTCAGCCTCAACTTGGGCCTACGCCGAGAATTCACGTGGCGCTTCGTGGTGGCCGACGTCCCGCAACCTATCATCGGCGTGGTCTTCCTGTCGCATTTCGGTCTCCTGGTGGACTGTCGGAACAACCGCATCCTGGACGGGGTCACGACGCTGTCAGCCCCGGCATCAGCGGCCAACGCACTGATCCCCAGTGTAAAGACCATCAGCAGCAACACACCGATCGACAGCCTTTTCACAGAGTTCCCGGACCTGACCCGCCCAGCTGGAGTCCAGCGCGAGATACGACACAACACCGTCCACCACATCAGGACTGTACCTGGCCCACCAGTAACCTGCCGACCACGGAGACTGGCACCGGACCGACTCGCTATCGCAAAAGCCGAGTTCGACTCCATGTTGCGGGTGATAAAGCTCGTCGATCAGAGAGTTCATGGTCCTCGGCAGTACATATTTTGCCCAAGAAAGACAACGGTTGGCGTCCTTGCGGCGACTATAGAGCACTAAACGCCCGGACAATCCCTGACCGCTACCCAGTCCCGCATATCCATGACTACTCACACCAGCTCCATGGCTATACCATTTCCTCCAAAATCGACTTGGTACGAGCCTATAACCAAATTCCCGTCAATCCCGGTGATATACAGAAGACGGCCATCACCACTCCATTCGGCCTATTCGAGTTCCCCTTCATGTCCTTCGGCCTGCGCAACGCCGCACAGACCTTCCAACGCTTCATGAACGACATTCTGCGGGGACTCGACTTCTGTTTCGCTTACCTGGATGATATCCTCATCTTCTCCCGGTCTCTAGAGGAACACGAACAACACCTACGGACAATCTTCGACCGACTGCAGAAGTATGGGATCCTTATCAACCCGGCGAAGTGCGTCTTCCGAGTACCTGAGATTACCTTCCTCGGTTATAACGTGTCCGCCGAGGGCTCCCAACCGCTGGAAGAACTAGTGGCTCACCTCCAGGAATGTCAACCTCCCAAAACCGCCAGTCAGCTCCGCCGTTTCCTTGGCATGCTGAACTACTATAGGCGATTTCTTCCCCATGCGGCGGCACACCAGGCTCCACTGCGCGACGTCCTCTCCGGACCCAAGGTTAAGGGCTCCCACCCCATCACATGGACACCGGGACTTCGAAGATAGCAAGGCGAGTTTGTCACGCGCCACACTACTGGCTCACCCCGATCCATCCGCGCCACTTGCACTCGTCACAGATGGCTCCACTTCCGCCATGGGTGCCGTGCTACAGCAACGCGTCAAGAACGCCTGGCAGCCCCTGGCATTCTTCTCAAGGAAATTCAACCCGGCCCAGCAAAAATACAGTGCGTATGACCGCGAGCTGCTGGCCATCTGCGAGGCCGTAAAGCACTTTCGCCACATGCTGGAAGCGCGCCATTTCAGAATCTTCACAGACAACAAACCTATCACCTACGCTTTCCAGCAGAAAAGGGACAAATGCTCACCAAGGCAATTCAACCACCTGGATTTCATTGCACAATTCACGACCGAAATCCGACACATCTCGGGACAGGACAACGTTGTTGACCACGTGCTTTCCCGCGTCGAATCCGTCACGGCGCCACCATCCTACGACGCATTGGCCGCATCGCAGGACAGCGACGACGAGCTCCAATCACTTCGGCAGTCAAACGCGGCTTTGCGGCTCCAAAAGCTACCAATCCCCGGTACCACGGTGTCCATCTACTGCGATACCTCTATCGGGAAACCTCGGCTATACATCCCAGCATCTCTTCGGTTCGAAGTGTTCAAGTCTGTCCATGATCTGTCGCACCCAGGGACCAAAGCAACGGCAAAACTGGTGGCACAGCGTTTCGTGTGGCCAGGCGTGAAGAAGGATTGCCGCACCTGGGCACGTGCTTGACAGGCCTGCCAGCGCTCCAAAGTCTCCCGCCACACAGTCACTCCACTGGGCGATTTTACAACGCCGGCAGCCAGATTTCTTCACGTCCACATAGACCTTGTTCGACCCCTTCTAACGTCAGGAGGCTACACATACTGCCTCACTGCAGTCGACCGTTTCACCCGTTGGCCAGAAGCCATCCCCATCCCGGACATCACAGCCGACACAGTGGCACGAGCCCTACTGACCGGCTGGATATCCCGCTTCGGCTGCCCACAGACCATCACCACCGACCAGGGACGTCAGTTTAAATCTCAACTCTTCCACTCCCTGACCAAGCTCTGTGGCATTCAACTCTCGCGAACAACTGCTCACCACCCAGCGGCTAACGGACTCGTGGAACGTTTCCACCGAACACTAAAGGCAGCCATCATGTGCCACGCACACCAACACTGGACAGAAGCCCTACCCCTGGTTCTCCTCGGAATACGCACGGCATTCAAGGGTGACCTGCAGGCATCAGTAGCTGAACTCGTGTACGGTGAACCACTAAGAATACCAGGAGAGCTGCTAACTCCAACTGCCAACCCAGTGGATCCACCGCACCTCATCACCCAACTTCGCCAATATATGGCCCGCCTCAGACCAATTCCAGCAACACGCCATACCTCCCCGGCTACATTCGTGCACAGCGACCTCGAGAAGTGCTCGCACGTCTTCCTCCGGCAGGACACGGCTCGCAGAGCATTGTAGCCCCCTTACAGCGGCCCCTACCAGGTCCTATCACGAAAGGAAAAGACAATGCAAATCCTCGTGCGCGGCAGGATCGCCACCGTGTCAACCGATAGAGTCAAACCTGCCTACATGTTAAACGAGACAGGCCGTGGGACCACCACCAAGACCTTCGACCCCGCAGCCGACGAAACCCCAACCGCGGTTCCGCATCCCGTGGGATGCCTCATCACCACAGTCTGTACAACGAACTACACGCTTCGGACGTCATGTATGTTTTCCTGATCGCTTCAACAGCTGAGCAACCATCTCCGCGGGGGAGTGATGTGGGAACAGCCCACATTCAAGTAAGTGTGACAACGCAAGCGTCACTGCTTAGCAACGACGAGTAAACAACGGTTGCTAGGCAAAAGCGAGTAAACAGCGGTTACTAGGGAACTTATATACACGGTGTCCGGCAACAGCAGTACCTATTACGTACCTATTTATTACAATAAATCCTATAGGACAGTTCAACTAGTGGCTGTCTCTTCATACGACATCCCACATTATAATAAATTCGAATATTTTCAAACTTTAGAAAAAAATTTAAGACTTTTTAAATTACATATCTTTTCGAAACTTCCGAGATTTCAAAATTCGGGTGGTTTTGAGATACCTTATTTTCTAAAAAGTTATCAAATTCTAAAAATTCTCGAACATTTGTTAATTCTATTATTCTAAATAAATAAATCTTCAAATTTTATTCTATAAGAAATACTTGAATTTATTGAAATGTTTTGAAATTCTGTAAACTTGAACGATTTTCTGCATTCTAAAGACGTGGATTCAATACAAGTGGATCTGAGGTTCACAGTTATAGCACAGTTTATCAACACGGGCATAGTAATCCGTGGACGACACGGGTCGTTGGGGGGCGATAGGGAAATAAAGTGTGATGGCGATGAAATGGGTGTGTGCCGACAAAACTAGTACATGAATACGTTTGATTCAGTTATACACTGCGGGGTTTCTCATCGGATGATAATTCGAAGAGTGTATAAACGTGTTAAATAATTTGAATTTTATGGGTGGATTTATTACATAACTTATAAATTAAAATTATCGCCTATATAGAAATGGTGTTGAAGAACATTGTGCTGTACCTTGTGTTTGTACTGTTTGTCAAATGTGAGTTTAAGTGTACACCAGTCGTTACAAAAGAATGTGAATTTTGTTTGATATACGTTTTGTTTATATAAAATTATTGCATATGTACTGAATACCATAGTATAACTTTTATAATGTGACAGCTACTTAACAAAATAATGTCGTTAAATGACGAGAAGCAGGTTCTGCACATTGTAAAACTGATGTACTGAAGACTCGAGTATGTTAGGTTAGGAGTTGAGGTGTTCTTAAACTAATTTTAAAGTAACACTGCACAATCATTTATCGTCAAGGTCACATTAAATATAATGATCGCGTTTAAAATCAGCGTTGAGATAGACTGCACAATATTTATTTCATTTTCCTTAACGAAGCTTGTGTAGTTGTATGTATGTGATTTGATATACACGAAAACCCTTTTTTTTTATGGGAATATGCGTTATTGGTTCGAGGAACTCTCTTATATAGATTGAACACAAATTTCTGAACATGAACATTTAATTTCTATGGTAAAACAAGTCTGCTTTGTTGCACGTTTACATTTATGTCTATGTCTTCTGTCCATCTACCCAGTCATAATTTTAATGAAACATTGTAAAATAAATTACATTGTATAGTTCACAGAAATCTGTTAAGTTTTCTAGGGAGAAGCAATGAATTCTAATTGGGAGAGAAAAATGGTAAACAAGAAACATGTCTTTTACCAACCTGTTGCAGAAAATTAATGAATTTTGAATATTAGATATGTGATGCATCAAAAATATGTCATTATTAATACTGAACATTCATTCATATATAAAAATGTTCATATGCTATCAGTATCAGTCTTGTGAAGCGCTGTAGGATGTGGATGCATGGTGGGAAACTATTGAAAATACCACAGCAGTGTTATTTTGAAATTTATTTCCCAGTGAATATTGAAATTAATTTAGTGTGGTGTAAACAAGTGTGTGTTAATTAGTTCAATTTAAATGTACAGTACTTATCAGTTTCATCATGCTAAATATGTAACTTAAAGAGAATGCATGTGAATTGCATAAATTAAATCTGCTATGTTAAGAGCTGGCTTTTCCACAGCTGTTGTTACTATAGATGTTATTGTCCCCATACATGTATATACATGCAATGCACTATCAGACTGTGAAAGAAGTTGCTGCATCTCAGCAGAAAAATTCTCTGTTTCTACCGAAAACTTTATCACTTTCAAGATTACTGGATATGAGTTTAGCAGTAAGCATAAAAGGTTCTATATGGTGTTCTTTTGTGGAGAGTAATAAATGTATATTTTCCTGTAATTTTTCCGATCTTTGCTACTAGCTTCTCTCACTTCTTCAGGTTGGCTTGACAGTAAATATGGGCATCACAGTGAAGTTTTTCCATGCATTTGATACTAGCAGTAGTCTTGCAAATACAAATCAGTTGTTTCCTTGGCATATTGTTCGAAAGATTCACTGTTTATGGGAGAGTCACAGGACAGTTTCATTGCAAAGGAAGCATCAAGTGTTTTCTTAATCCATGTAATCCATGAAGGCAGAGATGGGTTCTTGAAAAATCTGCCAGCAAGATTGATTAGTATAATTGATTGTCTTAAGGAAACACAACATACCAGAATATCACTGTTTGAGATAAACATGTCTTCTCCATCATCAGTATATAGTGGTGGACCCATTTGTAAAGGTCATGTCAGAGAACTTTTAAAGGGGTACAGGAGTGTAGTAGGGTGGATAGACTTAACAGCACACAATTGAAACATTCAGATTCATAAGAAAATTAAGTGGACACTGTAAAAAGAATGCAGTAATTTTATATCTTGGCTGCTGGGATTCTGAAAGGTCCATAGTTAATTTGATAATCAGATAATTTGGGAGCATTAATCAAGAGTATACCATAGTGTGTGTAAGCTTATGTGTCTTGGATTTAATGTTATTCTTTCTAAAATCAGTTCTGCTGAAATTTGGTTAGTGCTTTGCAAATATATGAATAACAGGTTATGTAATGCAAGTCAAATAAATATAGACATTCAGTATTTAATATTTGTATATTAACACACAGATGGAATATGGAGGTACATGTTACAGTTGCACAGTATGGATTTCTTTTCCATATTGGATTTGAGATTCTCACAGCAGTAACTGTGAAGAGTTCTATCTTCTGGGACAACATTTTGGAAGAACTTACTTCAACACTGAAGATACAGGTGATATGTTTCTGTGAAGTGTCACTTGACTTTCACTGGACTGTGTGGTGTTGTATCCTAGAAGATATAATTCTTATTTCATTTTCATGTTCGTACTATAATGTGAGGATCATAGAAGTGACACCTGCATCTGCATTTGTTATAATGTGTAATTGGATACATCTGTCCCCCATGTGTACAGTGTTACCAGATTGGTTAAATAACTGTTGGCTAAGATGTGTTGTGGTGTGACTTAATTTCATGATATGAGAGATGATTGGTACACTCCCTGATTCAAATCACTGTAATTTAAAAATGCTTTGTTTTTTCCAGTTGGCACATCAGCAGCATGTACCATTCCATTTATAATTCGAGGAGCTTGGTTTTCATGGGAAAATGGTCAAAATACATTAACTGAGATTAATGCAGAAACAATGACTCGGAAAGGATACTGTATTGCCCTTAAAGAAGAATACCATGTTAACTATACATTTGTTTTTCAAGACAATAAGTGTTACCATTGTGTTAAGCTCTTGGTGAGGACTGTAAATGTGCTGGAAAAACTCGAAAGTAAGTATGTCATTTAACTTAACTGGAATTTGTCACTGGTAATTCAGTTACAGATTAAACCCCAAGAGTATATATAGTAAAGGTTTTTTAACTGCAGAAAGCTCAGTCTTGGTTTAAGAATTTTTGTTTCATTATTTTCTATGGTAGTTCTGACTGACTTCATGGAGCAGAGTTCTTCTTGATAAGCTACTGTTCAGTCATGTAATCAAGATATTTCTGATCTTGAATGGCTGAAGAACATAACCTGCTTATCTCTTAAGTTTCATATTGTAAAAATTGACATGCTTAATGTCATTTCACAAAACATCACTGTTTAAAAGAACATAACCATGATGTTAAATGAGAACTTACTCACCGCGCCATCTAATTCTTGCCACAGAATAGAGTTATTTTTGCTCTGGCTATTATGAGACCAAGAATTTCATTACTGTATCCACAGGAACCTGCTGCTTGACTCCTTTCTGAGCCAGACAAATCCAGTCTATATCTGCACACTTATTAAGATACATTTTAATATTACCACCCTATGTATATTCACTGAATTCTGAAGAGCTTAGGAATTTCATGCATGATCATGATAGTTTGAAGATAAAGATATGTATGTTACATTATGGGGTTCTCAAACTTTTTACCTCTGAGCCCCCCTGACAAGAGAAAATACTCTCAGGCCCCCCAGCCTGTTTTTTTCTTATCAAAATAGAAGTCATGGTATGTTTGACGTTTTATTCAATTTATTTTGTGTTTTCTACATACTATTAAAGTATCACAATATTAGGCCTACAACATAAAGTTTTAACACTTGCAATTAACCAAAATATGTATTGAAATGAAACGATATTTAACTAACAAGTGTTTAATTTTTTCTGCAGAGAAAATCAACCATTTAAATGTCAAAGTTCAGTGTTATGGATGGGCCTGCTTTTGAGAACAAAGTTTATCAAAACGTGGTATAATATCAGAAATGGCCACTCATAACTTCTTTAGCAATATTTAGCCTTGAACGATACTTTGACTTTATAGCTGCCAAAGCAGAAAAGCCTGTCTCGCATAAGTAAGTTGTTGCGAAAGGAATCAGGATTTTCAATGCTTTTTGGCTCAAAATTTGGAATTCCGTGTCAATATGTATCCAGAACTCCAACAAAGACAATTTCTTAAATTTACTTTTTAATAAAGTATCACTAGTGAGATCGATGAGTTGTTCTTGCTCATTTACCTTCAGAGATGATGGCCCAGGAGCATTTTGAATGGATTTTTAGTCCAATTAAATTTATCAAAATCATTGCAAAAGTATTTTTCGAAATGAACTTTCAACATTATGAGATGATCAAGTAGGCAGCTTTTTATTGTTATTTTTGTTACTTCCACGTGGATCAAATGATAAGTGAGAATCAGTGTTCACTCTACTCCTGCTTTATTAAGACACTAGATTTGATACAGAAGTATGCCTTATGTACACATACAGGCTTATAACCATAGTTACACATAACAGTAAACATCACTTAGGTAACAAGACATAACCTAGTTCTTAAATTGTTTACTACGATGTTGCCAACTATAACATATTTCAGTATTTGAGAGTTGCCAACATAACACTCCCCCTTAAACAATTTGGGAGTTTTTATTTTAAATACTTATTCAGAACACCATTTGGAAACGTCATTCTTAGCACAATCCAAGCGAATTAATAAAATCAGTATGTTTCCGTACATTTAAACCTTTCGTGCAACCATCAGCAAATAATTGATTTCCAGGGATGTAATGTACTGACAATTCCTTTGATTCAACCTTTTCTCTTATAAAATGAACCCTTATGTCAATATGTTTTGTTCGGTCATTATTGACAGGATTTTTCGCTATGGCTAAAGCACCACGATTGTCACAAAAATAGGAATTGTGATTTCCTTGTTACATATTTCAAACCATAATTTTCTTAAGAAAATGGCTTCTTTCGCGGTCTCTGATAAAGCCATATATTCTGCATCTGTGGTTGACAAGGCTACAGTCCTTTGTTTTTTACATCGCCAACTGATAGCTGCTCCTGATAGTTTGAACACAGATCCACTAAAGGGTCTGCGATCTAAATTTCCTCCCCAGTCTGCATCAAAAAAACCTTCCAATTGATCATCGTTCTGGGAACATACAATACCTACATCCTTTGTAGTGTTTAGGTATTTTAGAACTCTTTTTAATAATACCCAGTGTTCTCTTGTGTAACAAGTGTTAAATTGACTTAGGTTAAGTCATAGCAAAGGATATATCTGGGCGCGTGCTACTGGCTAAATACATTAATGATCCTATAGCCTGTTGATATGGCACGTTATCTAAATTCTCAGTTGATTTTCTTGATTTAGGCAATGGTTTCAGTTTGCTGTTTGGTTCCATTGGATGACTAACTGGTTTAGTCTCATTTGGAATATTAAATCTTTTAAGAACATTATTCAAATATTGAGTTTGGGTCAACTTTATAGTTTTCTTTGCCCTATCTCTTTTCACTTCCATTCCTAAATATTTCTTAATTGGTCCCAAATCTTTTATTTTAAAACATTGTTGCAATTTTCTTTTTAAATTCTCAACTTCAACATTGTCATTGTGAAATATGAAGAAGTCGTCAACATACAATGCTATATTAATTATAGAATTACCCTTTTGCTTGGTATAAATACATGGTTCAGAACAAGTTTTCCTGTACCCTAGGCCTTTTAGAACCTCTGTTGCTTTCTTATTCCAAGACCTAGCGGCTTGTTTCAGTCC